GTTTCGTTCATGGAGGAGATGTCATGCTTGTTCAGTTCACAAGTTCCTTTGCCGTCTTTCTTGGATGACATCTTGTAGTTTGTAGAAGTACACCAGGGGTTTCTCATACATTGTTGACCGCGCGATAACAAACTGGGAGAATCAAACCGTTTGATAACGCATCCTTTAAGCTGCTCATTTTCTCGAAATTCAAAGTATGATGAACGAGAAGATATGAACTTTTCTTCGGCGAAGAAAACGACGGTAGATTGTAAAAGGAAAAATATCAAAACTTTTGTATACCCCATGGCTAACAAAAGTTGGTCCGAGCAGCGAGGATTATAGTGAAACGTCAAATTATTCGCTTTGTTAAATGACAGAAAAACATCAGGCAAATTTATTCAAGAATTTGTAATTACTGTGCAGCGCCTAGCCTATTAATACATTTGCGAGATGGTCTATAATCTGCAAGGTGAAACCAAAGACTCGTCTCCCTAAGACGACATGCATAATTGGTCGATTTCGGTCAGTGTAATCAGTTCACTGGTGGTTGGTTGTCGCTGGTGGTCGGCAACCATCGTTTAACAGGCGCTGTCATTGTCATGGTCAAAAATTCTCGTATCACTGTCATCTTTATTAGCTAAGCTTAGTTTAAGTTAGACAAGTCGGAGAAAGCAGTATGCGTACAGCTTAAAACTTTGTCACGCCAACATGAAAAATCATGACAAAGAAAAATCTTAACCTTTTCTAGCTCTTCCAATGACAGAAAACGCGGTCTCGACAGCTGGTACATGTTTTTTATTGCAACAATAACGTTACTTACACAAATGTTACCTACACTATGTATAGCTAGTAACATTACGTACAATACCGAAATAGCTTACAAAACCCTAACATTATACTTGCGACAGGAGCCCATCACTAGGAGCGTGCAACTAACCCATATTCCTGCCACGGCGTTTTCACGAACCGATCTATTTTTAGTTTGAATTTACCGCGAATTCAAACCCCTACAGGAAACTCAGTGACCAATCACAAGCAGTTACTTAATTTTTAACTGACGTCATCATTTCACCGGAAGATTAAGGTGGCTTACAACAGTTTTTCCGAGATTTAGTAGCGCGCGCTATGATTGCCTGCCAGAAGTCAGTATTAGTCGCGCGTGCAAAAATGACCCAAGTAACCCTAAGAAGAAACGAAAACCACTTCAGCGCTCGAAACGCGTTAGGTAACTTTTAATTTGGTGTACGTAACGATAGTTTAAAACTCCGTTCAAACATGTGTTTAATAACAACCGGTAAAAGAGTTCTCATTTACCCTTGCGTTCTCACACCCGATACATCCCGTCACATGAGCGAGCGCTTTAATAAAAAGGCATGCGCAATTCAATCCTCCGTAGGAAAAAAGATGGCGACTGGTACATTTATCCATACTTCTTAGCGTAAGAAAACCTTAACAACGCTCATAAAAACGTGCAGAAAAGTTATTAAATCTTCAAACCTAGGCTACACGATGTCCTCAGCACAGGAACAAATATTGTAAAAATTTGGCTTTCTTCGTGCCATGTAGGCTGTTTTAGGTTCGCAAGGTATTGTGGTAAAATGTATAACCGCCATCTTTTTTCCTACGGTGGATTCTCGTCTAAGGTTGTAAAAGCCAGTCTTTGATTGAGGATCGCTCGTAAACCTACCGTGACCCATGATGAAATTTTCACAATTGACTTGAAGTGTTGAGAACGTTTTGTAACTGTAGCGTGACGTAATGAAAACTCGACTATTGTTTTGTTTCGAAGTGACTGAGCAATTTTTGATCATATCTTATTTCAAATCATGTAATATCTCGTTGGTCAAGTTGCACGCTCCTAGTGATGGGCTCCTGCTTGCTTTACTTACTCTACTTACAGTGGTAACATAACTTACAATTTTAGCATCAGTTTATTAATAGCTAATATTACTTAATTATAATAGTGCATCATGCTAGATTATAACTAACATTACTTTGCTATATTAACTTGGCTAAATGTTAACACACAGTGCTATTTAAAAAAAAAAGAAAAAAATATGAAATGTGCTATTTAACTTAAGGAATTAACACTGACAAACTGTTTAGGCCGGACCCGCCAGTGAAATTCTGGGGCGAGTATGTGTGTAAGGTGAGAACCAAATGGTCGCCTCTTCACTATGATCGCATGAGACTTTTTTGACAGAGGACAACCGGAGCTCTACTCTGCTCTGAGACAGGCAAACTGCATTGCTTGTCATTCCACTCTCCAGGTTTATATGAAGCCGCATATATTTGGACACATTTCTCATTACGGCTATTTGGCTCGTTGTCTGCCCATGCAGAATAATGACCCGCTAGTGGAGTGCCATCGATCCAGTAAAACGCATCTCCATCCGAAGTTTTTCTGTAAAGACCAAGCCATGCACCCTCTATTTGTACCGTTTTTTGGTTTTTCAACAGCTCAAGAATAAAGTTATTCTCATCTTTTGATCTGATTTTAACGAGGTCTCCTCCCAGACACTGACACATCCCTCGAGCGTCGCTCCATCTGACGGTCGGAGTGCATCTGACGTAGTAACATGAATTTCCATGAAGAACCCAATCTTGCTGACAACCTAATCGGGTTAAATATAGGAGAGGAGAACATTTCAGTTTAGAAATACTCAAAACTTAGAGCAATTTTGCTCTAAAATTATTACGCGTTGGTACGAACAAATTTTAAACAAGAAGGAAGCAATTTATTAGCTTATCGAGCGTAACCAACATACGCGCATGGCTATTGGTTGGTTTAATTTAGGAATTAAGCAAGGAAAGCGTACTGCAACCTTTCACGTAACTCGTTTTTCAGCTTCTAATGGTCACTAGAACAATTAGCGTTATCTCAATGATAGGGATAACTTAGCTGCATGGGAAACTCAAAGTTAATAACTTTTAATCCTCATACAAATGGCAAACAGTTGGAAAAAAACTTTTCAAAGTTGTGCCAAAGTTGACCTTTACACCAGCTTTGATTTTGAGTTTCACACTGTCAGTGTTGTCTTTATACAACTTTTCAGCGATGACGTTTGACAAAGAGCTTGTTACATTTTGCAGCCGAGGCAGAAGAGCCTCATCAAACTTGTAAAAACAAGAACGCCATGATTGTCATGAAATGTAATAACTTTTCAATTATGTTTTATTACGGTCATGTTATTATTACCAAATTTAACTTCACATCTGTCTCCAGTCCAAGGTGGTAGGCACGAGCATGAAAATGTTTGCTTTTCCTTGTCAGGCAAACAAGAACCTCCATTGAAGCAGCTTGTGAGCAAACATCCCTGATTAATAAAAGAAATACGTAAAGTAAAGAAATATAAAATTAGATGAAAACCCTGAAAAATTTTTTGGGAAGCCTGGAATAGCAAGCCTAAAGATGTCACTACTTTTTCTCGATTGCACAAGCTGGATCAACGTTTAGGAGGAATAGTTTGTTTGGCGAAAAATTAAAGGTGCATGCCACTTTTGTGGTAGACTAATTCAAATTCGAAATTGCATAATACTATTTACCTTTTGCAGCATAGAGAAAGTGACTCCCCGCTGATCATAAAAGTTGGTGTTTTCGTTGATGAGGGAGATGTCGTGCTTATTCAGTTCACAAGTTCCTTTGCCGTCCTTCTTGGATGACATCTTGTAGTTTGTA